CATTAGCACCTCTAGTAATATATTTACTGAGAAAAATGGTGACGTGTTCAATACTTATTTTACCTGCTGTAGTGTGTATTGAATGGATCCATACAGGCACATGCACTCTTGCACCGCTAATTAACAGGTAAACAGAAAATGGCTGACATCGGCGTCTGTAGCTGTGTGTGTGACAGGGCCTTTAAATATCCTAGAGTGATCCAGTCAAGGTCCAGATGTCAGTCCAACTCAGAATTAACCTTTTTACAGTTACCAATGTACACGTGCTCAGAGTCAGTATTTTGCAGTGCATTGTGATGTAGATGGGATCAGGCCTGCTTCCCAGTTTGTTGAAATATGTCTAAATGGTGTTCATGTGTACTGATGCCTCAGCTGTGCTCTGCAGTCATTCCAACACCAACACTGCACGCCGCGTACATTTTACCACAACGTAAAATACCAATAAAACTAATAAATAAGTTTGTCTGTAAAAGTCAATAGACAAGCAGGTGTGAAAGACAAACACAATAAACTTAAAACACTGATTAGAAATAGTTAGGACCCTGTTTGAACATGTGGTGTCCAGTTTTATACATGCACATTCATATAAAAAGGCCAGTCTATGGACTGATTAAAAATTGCTGGACACAATCAGAACCCGTTCAGTTTTATGGAGCAGTTTGGTCACGAAGAATGGACAAAAATGTCCATAAGATGAACCAAGATCATGTTTGAATTCTGGGTTGTAAGTCAGCAAGAAGGGGGAATACTTACACAACCCACTGAAACCCTTACTTTTCTCTTTAGATGTTTATAAACCCGTCAAGGTGTGTTAACCTGCAGGATACATTAACAAAGAGGTTTGACACAAGATCAATAAACTTCTCTTACTAACTTGTTTGCTGTTAGATGTAAAATAAACAGGATCTGCTTTCATCTCAGTCATTATGTGACAGAGACACATGTCTGGTTCATCATCTATGATGATTCAGAACTGGATGAACAAAAGATGTTACAAGTTTTACTTCCTGCAGTGACTTAGAACTGTGGAGGGTTACGCAACATTACTGTAACATGTTCATGAGTAGAAACATTAACGTTTTATTTTTCAAATCACATTTGATAACTTAAATCTATCACTGGGAAAACAAATGAAATAACCTCTGATGTTCTTTCAGATGGTTAATTTTATATTAAAAAATAACGGGAATGCTGCAAAACCTGTTTTTAATTCCAACATTATGACATTAAGATACAGTAAAAAAAGGTTATTGCTATATGTCTTTCTTGAATAGTTTACATGTTCATTATGGCAGGATGCATTATCAAATTGAAAGATAAATTCAAAACATCTTTTCAGCTAATGGATGGAAAACGTTTTTAATATTTCAATGTATGCATGGGTTTATTGAAGATGTAATGACTGCCATCTTGCTTGTGCCTCTATGTGACACACAGGCCCACAATATCAGTTCAGTTCAGTTCAATTCAATTCAGTTAGTTTATTTATACAGCAACAAGTCACAACAAATGTCGTCTCAGGCCACTGTACAAAAAAAATCAGTGATTTGGGAAATATGTTTTCTTTTGACAGTCATCCATATATTTCACAGAACTGGTGTTAAACCAAGGTTCCAGCAGCTTCACCATGTTTCACCACTGAGGATCACTTTCATCCAGTGGCCCACCGTCCATTGTTTTCCTTTAGCCCACCGTTAGTGTTCTTTGTTTGGGCGTTAATGATGGCTCGTTTGACTTCTCTGCAGGTAAATTCCATTTCTTTTAGGTGATTTCTTAGTTCAGTCACACACTAACTGAAGACTAATTAATTTAATCTGATGCAGCCAATTTAGAAATGTAAATTACAAACATGAGTTCATGAGCGATTTCCTCAACTCTTAGCAAAAAGTATACTTGAAGTTCATTTTAATAAGTACACTCACCGGCCACTTTATTAGGTACACCACACTAGTAATGGGTTGGACCCCCTTTTGCCTTCAGAACTGCCTCAATTCTTCGTGGCATAGATTCAACAAGGTGCTGGAAGCATTCCTCAGAGATTTTGGTCCATATTGACATGATGGCATCACACAGTTGCCGCAGATTTGTCGGCTGCACGAATCTCCCGTTCCACCACATCCCAAAGATGCTCTATTGGATTGAGATCTGGTGACTGTGGAGGCCATTTGAGTAC